TAACTTTCTACGAGATTTTCCAGGTATTTCTAGTTTTTATAACCATCTTAATGAGTCTATTAGACTTTTACACCAACTATAAATGTTTAAATTACTTTCACAAGAGGTTATACCTTACTAGACCCATTACCATCTACCAACAGATTGCGTCTTGAGCTATTTTTACAAAGTTCGTGTTGATGTTATCGTGCCAAATCATGATGCTTGAAAAAGTTTTAATAATAACTTATTTGGCTATAAAATCTTGTCAAAATATCCAGTTTTTAAAAAAAAATACAGTTCATGTTAGCTTATGAATGATACCGTACGGATTTATGGACACTAACCTGTATCTGCATAGTAAAGTAACGGTGATCAATGGTCATATACATTTAATTGTGTCATTAATATATGGAAGGAGCACGAATGTAACTGGCATTCGGATTCACTTAAAACTAAGTGAACTAACTTAATAGAATTGGATTTGATATAGTGATTATGATGTAACTGTAAACAAAAGGTTTGCTGACGGCTAAAGTTTTGACATAAGACGATTAATTGGATCTGACTTTGAATTAGATTGCATGACTTGAAATGATATAATTTCAATTAGGAATTTTGTTGATAATGTCAGTTGGCTGTCTTCTGTCTTGTTCATTTTGGTTTGGACGAGCAACATTTGCTTACTATAATTTCGTTTATTTCTTCAGTCAAGTTGATTGGGTTGTGTGATTTGAAAAGTTAGGATTTAGCAATAGCTTGCTCCCTTTGCTTTATAGCAATCTTTATATTATAACAATAGCTATCTATAAGGGAAGTGGAAACTATCTTTTTTTTCTTCTCCTCTTATAATATCTTCTGATTCATTTCGTTGCGGCAACTAAGACAGCTTTTCTTCAAGCTTCATGACCCTGAGACGCGCCGGACTTCAGTGTTCCGGTGTTTTCATGGTTGTATCTACTGTAGATCCTGGCTAACAGGAGTTGCAGCGGTTTCGGGAGGTTGTGGCGAGTTTGTCCCATTAAAAAATATCCATCTATGTAGATCATCTACCAGGTTTCCAGTCAAGTAGTGCCTTTATTCACAAGATTTGACTGGTGCCTGATAACGAAACGTAAAGACGAAATTGCCTAGATGCTCATACGACCGTTTTATATTGCGGTGGCTATAAAGTGTATGTCTTACGATCTGGCAACATAAAACTTCCAGCCAAGTTGTGTTAAAAGTCGTAACGTTTTTGGAGCGTTGAAATCTTGTATATGATAGTACTGCATTAAGGAAATATAACTAGAAACCTTGAACTTTCAGAAAGAATTCAGAAAGAAAGAGAACCTTTGAGACTACTAATTGTTACTAGAGAAAGATTGAGACAAACCTAACAATTTTCCTATAATTGCTCCATTGTTGTTCCTATTATTGATATGATCTATAGGATCTTATTCTACAGTAGCGCCAACTAACGAGACCTAAAATAACATAAGTACAACTTCCAAATACTTCTTCGTTCTTTTAAAAATATTATTTTCGTCCAAGCTGTCTTGTTTCCGCAACTACGAGTGAACTATGGGGCTTCTGAGGTAACGTTCTACAAATAAATTATCTTCAAGTTGTGTTAGCCGTCACTTTGTTCTGGCAATATTACGTGCTCAGTGAGAACATAATTTAGGTTTATGTTATGGCTCGACCTCGATCACTGGTGTACAGGCGTGTTCATTACGCAGCTCCTCACTATTGATAACTTCGGCAGTTGCTAATGTTCTGAGGCATAATTTGGTCTTATAGAACTGGCCTAGTATCGATAATACGTTTTGGGATATGTATTTTGTGTTGCTGGCCATGGAATTAGAAATAAACTCCAATCATTTGATTGACACAGTTTTTGCGAATCGGATATTTGTGAGTAAAAATCCAACCGAGCTTGCAAGTATACAAACGTCCAAAATCATTTCAATGTTCCTAGAATTGTATCTAGCTCATTTCAGTATTGAAGTAATGGATAACAGACAAACATTTATAATTCAAAATACTGACCTAATTGATGTTATTTTTCAAAATAGAACTCTGTTTCTTTTTGAGTAAAGTCAATAACACCTTGTTGTTTGCTGACAATGCTTGACCCAAGTTCTGAATGGCGATGCGCAATGGCCCAAATTCAAAGCAACTGTTTGACAGAAATATGTCGATCAAACAAGATCGGTTTGTTTTCCTGTGCTTGTTCTAATGATCTAAAAACCAAGATGGATAAAGTAATCGGATAAATAAACTCTTAGATAAAGTAATCATTGAGAATTAAGTGTTTAACGTGATTGTGTAATTGCTTAAGATCTTTTTTATTGGAGTCGATCCATTTTATTTTACTGTGGTCTAGTTGTTCCTTTCCTTATTAGGCGTTTTATAATAATAATAATAATAAAGGTTTTTATTCGGACAACAAATAATCCACTTTTTGCACGTCCAGTGTTAATACCACAAAGACCTCTGTACATTATGTATATTTGGTATAATATTGTTTACCGGTTAAATTATTATTTATTAGTTTCAACTTAAAAGGTGTGCCGAAAGTATTGCGATACAATGGATATACGGCTTTTGATATCGAAATACCGAATTTCACCTTGACGACTTTGTAGACGGTCGCGACTGCAATTACTTAGTCAAATAATTCTTTGGAGACTTTCGGGCTTTCAGTCCTCGTTATACAGATGTTTACCGTCCCCATACAACCCTCATAAAATGGTAGTCACGCTAAATATAATAAAATACCAAAACAATGGCTACAGTTTTTCCTTGGAAGCTTTCTTGGACATAATATAAATAAACATAGTTGCCTCGCGTCACGCGAAAAACATGTCTAGGCGACCTCTACGGTATACTACGTAATAAGTTTATGCAAATTATCAATTAATAAGTCTGTTTATATCTTTATTGTAAATATGGCGGGCGCATTCATACCTTAGTGTATGAGTAATAGCGTATTTCCCTTTGTATCACCCGATCCCTCTATCTGTTAAACCCCTTCGTGTTTTAATTAAAAACTTTGTTTTGCCGTGATAAAAATCCATGTCATGTTTATTCGTTTCGTTTATTAGGTCGGTATAAAAGCGGAGTTATTTAAACAGGTGTTTTTTATTCATAAGTACTTAAGCTTTATTACTTTTCGTCACGTATGGTACTCGTGAAGTAACCCTTTTACTGTAATTTGAAGCTTGGAACGATCCCGCGATGTATAGCATTATTAAATGTTTCTCATTGTATTTTTTTCTTTATACGTAACAATAGGTTTCTTTTGCCTTTGAATTAATAGTTAACATGAAAATAATCTGGTCATTAGAATAGCTTTTGTGTTTTTCCGGTTTTTGTATGAATTTTTTGGCTCGCTCCTGTTTCGTTTTGGTCTAAGGAAAATGTTTTGCGCTAATTAACAGATGTTTAACCTGTTTCTTCACGCACTCTTGATATGAGTTGTGTAAGACTGTCAGGCTTTTGACCTCTTAGGGAAGTCCATTTAGTTCCTCATGGGTGTAATTTACGACTTGTGTGCTCTATATCTCCAAGTTTAGGATGGTTTATGTCTGTAACTAGAGTATGTAGACTATAGGTATGTAGAAATATGGAAGGAAAACATTGTTGAAAAGCTACATAATAATCAAGGTTCCTCATCTTAGTGAACAAGGCAAAATATCTTTTTTAACTGTTGTACGTACTTTATGCACCAGTAATTAAATCTGGACCAATGCTTATATTCAAAATCGGTATCGTTTGATATTCGATATGACTAAAGCTCTAAATGAAATCGTTCACTTACCATGTATGATTGTATGTATGTGTATGTAACGTGGTTATGGTTGCATTACCAGATTAAAATTCTAAAGTTACATGATTAACCTGTCACTCAGTTGTCGTTTTAAAACGTATCCTTGTTTCTTTATGTTACTTTGTTGTTATGTGTTACTATCTTCTGTTGTTGTATTCGTTATATTAGTAAAATTCATCATCATGTACAGCCTGACACAGTTCGGTACTAGATTAAGGCCCTTAAAAAAAAGTATTTGTACTATTGGTAGAAACAAATAAATAACATTTACGGCCAGTACGATTGGGAATTGTTACATTATTCGTTACACAGATTGTTTCCTTATTAAAACATCGTTCAACAGTTATTATTGTTTATCTTGGAAAGGAAAACTGATCAAATTTAACTTTATCTTTGGAATGACATACCTTTTATTTAATTTTGTCTGAATGAGTAGTCCTAAACCGCTTCGTGAGTCATTCGTGATGTTGTACGTGATGTTGAGAACAAGCCTCTTTTTTATCCAGATTGGACCTTAAAAACTTTTTGGTACGTTCGAAACTAAAGAGGTCGGCACACTTCGATAAATATCGTTGTTTCTTGTTTGTGGTTCGCTTCGTATATCATGTTCTCCTACTGTAATGCGGTGGCATAAGTAGCTGCAATTTACTCCGATCTCAGTAATATTTTCGACGTTATTGTGTTGTTATAAAGTCTAAAATCTATTTTCGGAATTTTACTGTTCGGGCAGCTTGATGTGGTGGTCTGTAATGATTTATTTAGTTTCTTATTGAATTGTTGACACAACTGCTCGTGTGATTTCGGAGAACGTGTCACGTGGCATCAGTACAATGTGCTTAAATTGAATAATTTTTAAAGCACACAGTTCTGTTAAACAAATATTAGCCAACTGACAATATAAGGAAGGTCTTAATTTGAAAAAACAGTTAGGAACTTAGTTCTTGTCGAGATAATATCGAACTAGACACATTTTATTTATCTGAGGAACTGTTGCAGCTATTTTATAAGATCCAAATATTTGATCATCATGACTGAAACGTCTCTTTTTGGCCTCTCACTTTCTGGTTATAGACTGAATGGTAGCATTTGGGAACCATTGGACTATTTACGTTAAATGTTTATTTCACTCGGATTATCTCTAGGATCTACCGTAAAATCTCAATAGAATAATTGTTTAATTAAACATAATGTCTTCTTCCCTTTCCAGCCGATAAACAACGCGGACTTCGTGGTCCCCGTGGAGATCGATGGCGCAGTGCACCAGGTGTACGTCCTGAAGCGGCCGCACGTCGACGAATTCCTGCGGCGCTGTGGTGAACTCTACGAGTGTGTTCTGTTCACCGCATCGCTTGCTAAATACGCCGATCCTGTTGCTGATCTATTGGACAGGTGAGGAATACAATTTTTAATCCTTTAAATTAGTCTAAAGGTTCATTTATCGTCAGGGGAATAATCTACTGCTTGGACTTCGAGATCCTCTACACGAAAGTGTTTTCTGTAAGCTCCTCGCTTCACAGGCAAGTATGAGATCGCAGATAGAAGTCCGTGGCAGTTCATTGTCTGACGATGGTCCTATTCCACATAACGAGTATATGCCATATGTATCCACACTGTATCATCACATCTTTGTGTCACAATAAGTTCATCCCCTATTACATGGGACTTGTAACATAAATAGTTAAGAGTGGGTGTTACATTGAACAGTGGCATTAAGTACCGTAATGTGCATCACTGCCTACCCCTTCTTTCGATAAAAGGCGTGAAGATCGCGTTTAAAAGGTTATCAGAGTTTTATCAGAGCGTTACCCGATCTTTGTCAAATTAGTACCCTTAATCTGTTCTTATGACATCCGCGGGGTCAGATGTGGTCACTATTCTGTGTATATTTTTACCCAAAGATCAAACCCAAAGCTTCGAAACAGTCATGATTGCGACCTCAACAAAAAAGCCAAAAGAAATACTTTCCCTCATAATGAAATAGTTATGCTTTCACAAAGTTTACAATATCAGTAATTCTGTCAGTTTCCGTTGTCTCATCAAAATTAACCTAGTATGTGGGAACAATGGTGAAACTTGGCCCAACTGTTTGTTGCTAGTTCACATGTTTGAGTCGAGGTCTTGGCCAAACTTAATTATGTATTGAAATGGTGACATAATTTGTGTAGTTAGTGAAATTGGTAACATGTTTGTGGGTCTACTGTCTGTCCAAAAGCGACCGTAGACTGTGAGCGTGCGTATTGAATAAATTCTAATTGAATATTGTCCAATGGGAATTTTGAGCTATGGGTTAGAAAGGGCATTATATTCATATTTTTTTTTTAAATGGTACTTTGAGCATCTCCTTCTTTAAATTGACCAAATTGGTAATGTGTTACAAAACTAACGTTTAAAATAAAAGAACTTAATAGAACTCCATTAAAATTGTTAAGTTTCAAGTCCATTTCGTAAACTCGACGAAGAAATTGGTAACTTTTAATTGGCTTTGTGACTAACAATGATTAAACTTCTTCAATTCTTAATTGTACCGTTTAAGAATGTAACACTCAAATACCCACTTATGGAAACTAAGTTATGATAATAGGTTTGTACTTGGCTTAAACGATTACATAGCATAAAGTTAATTTGTGGTAATTAGAAAATTATGGAATGCGTGAGTGAGTTGCGTGTGAAACAGAGTAATGCTATTTACAGCTAATTTTATTATCTCCATACATGACAGTAGTGGGCCGCTGGTTCTTTTTTGTATTGCCAATTTTCGTATTGATAGTGTAATACCGAGTGAGCACCGTGTGTACTCAGTACCGTGTGAGCACGCATTAACGCAGTACGCTTTACGCGCCAAATAATAGATTGTCAACCTTTTTTCGGTTTTGGAAGGTTAAGCATTTTTTATTTACTTCATTCGCAATGAAAACGTGCGCAAGTTGCAATGAGCGATTCAATGATGGAGTTCAATGTACGAGCTGCAAAAAGTACCTGGACTTCTCTTGTGCCAGCATGACCGAAGTTGGTTGGAGGAAATTGGGTGCTGACAGAAGAGCCCAATGGAAATGTCCTGCGTGCCGATTGTCGTCGCCGACTTTACTTTCACCGCAACCTACGGCTTCACTGGACACAGTGCTGAGTGAGATTCGTGAAATGAAGCGTCAGCTACTGGATCTACCGACTTTAGTCAATGACTTGAGATCATTCAAAGATGAGCTGAGTGATCTCAAAAAATGCCACGATTTTTCTAGTGGTAGGCTCGATGAGTTCGACACTCGACTTTTCAATCTAGAATCGAAGGTGTCAGAGTTTGATAAGCTCCAGGACACAGTCCTCTCACTGCAATCTGAGTTAGCCTCAGCAAAGCACGAGTTTACGTCTCAAGATCAGCGGTCCCGGTTAAATAACGTGGAGATCAAAGGAGTGCCCCTCAAGAAGGATGAGAATTTATTCTCAATCGTCGAAGCCATCGGCCGGAAAATCAAGCATAATTGTCCTAAGGCCCAGATTAATTACATCTCTAGGGTGCCTATACAAAACTCTAAGGAGAAATTAGTAATAGTGAGCTTTCTGAATAGGTATGTAAAGGAGGACTTTGTTGCGGCTGCGCGGGCAGATAAGGACCTATCTACATCGGATTTAGGTTTCCAAGGAGCACCACAGCGTGTTTATGTGAATGACCACTTAAGCGTCGAATCTAAAAAACTTTTAAGTAAAACCAAAAACATTGCTAAAGAGAAACGTTATGAATTTGTGTGGGTTAAATATGGCAAAATTCATGTACGCAAAAACGTTAATTGTAGAACCTTTATAGTTCGGAAAGAACAGGATTTAAACAAAATTGTATAAACCGCTACATAAGAACATGTCATTTTTTAAATTTATGTTATACTTTTAAAATCGATCAATGTCTAATAATTGTTTTTTGTAAAAGGTTTTGCACCTCTGCTTCGCTGATGAGTTTCTTTTGTTCTCGACATCGCGCTGTTTGTGTTGGGGATCTGATTCATAGCTATATATCTGACTCGCTTGCACTTACGCTCCTGATGTATTGCTGCTTACTTGCTCACTTAGTAATGTCATACGTAATATCGGATGATTTGCAAACTTTTGCTACTTTAATTTACATTTACCCACTTTTCACATATTTATTTCTGTCTTCCGTAATTAATAGATATTTTTATTTTGTAATGCATTGGCCAGTCGTTTTTTGTTATAGTGAAACTTGTGCCGTTATTGTTGCACATTTTAACTATGGTTGATAACAATGAACAGCGACTGACTGTTTACTACCAGAACGTACGGGGATTGCGAACGAAAACGGACTCGTTCTATCGTCAGGTTTTATTAAATTCTTACGATGTTATTGTTCTGGTGGAGACGTGGCTAGTCGATGGTGTGTTGAACTCAGAGTTGTTTGATGACCGGTATATAGTGTGGCGCCGTGACCGGGATTGTGCTGTGACCGGACAATCGCGTGGTGGTGGTGTGTTGGTCGCGACGCGTAGGGAATTACCCGTTACCCAGGAACCGTTCCTCCACTCTTCAGCAGAAGACCTTTGGATTAGCATACGATTTAAAAAGTCAAACACACGAGATTTCGTAAACCTGTACGTTTGTGCTGTTTATTTATGTAAACAAAACAACGGTTTTTCGTTCTCGAATCAACTTAACAATTTTTTTACTAAATTAAACCAAACTACCTTAAATCATTCTTCCGATGTGTTTCTTATTGTAGGTGACTTTAATATGAGTGGAATTTCGTGGACTTCATCCACTAATAATTCGCTAATCCCAGTGAACCCTACCACTAGCGACGAATGTATGCTCGCCGATGAGTTATGCACTCTGGGTCTTCAACAATACAATGGAGTGACTAATAGGTATGGGAAATTGTTGGATTTGGTCCTCTCAGATAAATTAGCCTGTGTTACTGAGTGCTTGGACCCGCTGGTCGCTATTGATCCCTATCATCCCGCCTTGTTAGTTGATATCGACTTGTTTGAAATGCCTTCTTTGGACCATGCACCGCGGCTAAGATATGTTTATAGCAGAGCCGATTTTGTATCTATTAACAAAGAAATTCTTGCAGTGAATTGGGAACAACAGTTTTCGTCTCGATCTCTAGACGGCTCAGTTTCGTACTTTATGGATACTATAAAGGAATTACGAAATAAGTATATACCACATAAGCTTGTCCGTAATAGTAGTTACCCCATCTGGTTTAGTAAATCGCTCATTGGAACTCTCAAGGAAAAATACAAATATCTTAAAAAATTCAAGACTTATGGTAATAAATCCGACGAATTATCTTATAAACACTTGCGGGAAAGAGTCAAGACTATGGAAGCCTCATGCTATAACTGTTACCTTAATCAAACTGAAACATCTATTAAGAATAACCCTAAACATTTTTGGACATTTGTTAAAAATCGTTGCAACTCGAACGCTATGCCTAGTACACTAAAATACAATAATGAATTATTACTCACTGGTGATTCTATTTGTGAGGCTTTTTCCTCTTATTTCCATTCCACTTTTCTCGAGCCCAGGTCAACGCCTATGCCCTATACAGCCCCTGTTTCCTCCTCAAATACTACTGTATCTCCCTCTAATATTTCCAACATTGAAATCAAAATTGATGTTGTGACCAACCTACTCCGCAGTTTAGACCCATCCAAAGGAGCTGGTCCTGATAAAATATCTTCTAAATTCCTTATTAAATGTGCTACTTCTATTGCATTACCTATCTCTATTCTGTTTTCCAAATCCTTGTCTCAAGGTGTTGTCCCCAGAGTGTGGAAATCTGCGTTTATTACACCGGTCTATAAGAAGGGGTCTAAAACTGAAGTTACTAACTATAGGCCCATATCTAAATTGTGCATTATTGCTAAATTATTTGAGCGTATTATTTATAATCAGTTATACCCTGCTCTTGCACCTTCGCTTGGCTCCTTCCAGCATGGTTTTTTGAGGGGACGGTCTACAACTTCTAATCTGATTTTGTTTAATGATTTTATTACTAAAGCTATGGATGATGGTAGCCAGGTCGATGTGGTTTACACTGATTATAGCAAAGCATTCGATCGTATTGATCACGACACTTTGATCAAGAAGCTAAACTCTATAGGTATTCATGGGGACCTCTTGAGGTGGTTCTCCTCATATATCAATAATAGATCGCAGGCTGTAGTGATCAATAATTATATATCTAGTTGGGTCTCAGTGCCTAGCGGAGTGCCTCAAGGTTCGTTACTTGGGCCCTTCTTATTTGTGATCTATGTGAACGACATCGATCTGTGCCTTCGATCATCCAAATTACTGTGTTTCGCCGATGACATGAAAATCTTTGCCAAAATATCATCGGTCGAAGATGAATTGGCACTTCAGGCTGATCTACATCGTCTTGAAGTCTACTGTAGGGCTAATAAACTCGATCTGAATCCATCTAAGTGCTCAGTAATTACTTACACTAGGAAACGTGCCGCTCTAGTCAACACCTACATCTTATCGGGCCAGACTTTGCCAAGGTGTGATACCATCCGTGACTTAGGTGTTCATCAAGATAGCAAATTAGTTTTTGACACCCACGTTGACACTATTATCAAAAAAGCCACTAAATTGCTTGGGTTTATTATGCGTCTCTCTAAGTGCTTTAATAACGCCAAAACACTAAAAATTTTGTATTGCACCTTTGTTAGAAGTCAGCTTGAGTATGCGTCTCAGATATGGAACCCACGTTACCATAAGTACATCGACCGCATAGAAAACATCCAAAGACGTTTCATTAAATATCTCTGTTTTCATCAAAAAATTCCATATCACCCTGTCGATTATCTTCGACTCTGTAAGAAATATCATTTATTACCTCTCAAAGATCGACGTGAGATTGCCGACTTTTTGTACGTATTAAAAATCTTAAATAACAATATTGACAGCCCCGAACTTCTATCTAAATTTCACTTTAATGTACCACAAAAAATATTCCGCAATAACCCACCCTTACGTGTGCCTCTAGCATCAACAAATTACAGACAGAATAGTTTTATTATACGAGCGGGTAGACAGTTCAATAATATATGTAAGCAGTATGACTTTGATCCCTTTGCGACTAGCGTGGCGTCGGCCAGAAGGCGCATGAGCCTCAGGTTTTTTAAGTAGCATCTCAATTGTATCCCTAGTTTTCGGAAATGTTTATATTATTTTTATCTTTCACTTATTCTTGTAACTAAAAGTTTCTATTTAATATTAGTTTCTAGTTGATCCTTGCAATTAACTGGTATAATAAACTGTACAATTTTAATAAGCTGTAACCACTGCGAAAATTGTGATATGCTCACCTAACAAATTTAAGTCTGTCACTATACGTGAGGACTTGTAATTGGCTTTCAGTAGTTTATGTTCACTTCTATTTTTATGTAGTTTTAGCTGTAAGTCCTCCAGGGTGTAATAAATAAATAAAAATAAATAAATAAATACTGCTCTTATTAACCTAATGAGGGTTTATAGTACCTTCGCTTTCGTCAGGAGCACTGGCGTGGCAATGAATCAATCAAAATAGTATCTTTGTTCCATTTGTGAATGTCAATTCATTGACAGTTATTTTCAATGTTTGGATGACAGATGATCTTTTTCTATGTTAGCGCCATCTACTGATCGCGAAAACTCATATTATCTATTTAATCTTTGTTAATATTTATTGCAATGCAAATAAATAAGACCACGTGGTGAACATTATGGCTTTATAAACTGACGTACTATACAGTAAAACAGTTTATTACCTTTATTATACGTTTGCTGTTATGACATGAAATTATATATATTTCTGCAAATGGGTTACAAAGTAACACTTTAACAATCTCAATCTTTAAATTATTACTAGATGAAGGCTTTGATATTTTCAATCCGTAATTCCACATATTTCTTCTATTTGTATTTTTTTACGGTTTACTTTCCCCTACATGTTTAAACTGGACGCAACAGTTGAATTCCACTTGAATACTTCATTATAATTCCACAAATAGGTTACTTACGTATTTTAAATTAACTTCGCATGCCAACATCATTTTCAATCAACAAGTTTGTTTAGATCGGTAACCATTATAGTCTATTATCGGAGTTTATTAAGAATACATGCATCGAAGAACACGCTAAGTTGTCAATTTAACTTGAGAAGAATGACGACTTACTTTTATAAAATCTTAGACCCGAATACTTTTTTGTTGTCTGTTGCCGTAGCATTAAAAGTCCTGCAGTACCAGAAACGCCTTGCGGATCATGTAGGAAACTGTTTAAAAGCACCTTTGCGATCGTTTTATTGCTCTCATTTAATGAAGATAATGTTTGTTTCAGATGGGGCGTGTTCCGAGCGCGATTGTTCCGCGACAGTTGCGTCTTCCACCGCGGCAACTACGTCAAAGACCTGAACAGTCTCGGACGCGACCTGCGGCGTGTCGTCATCGTCGACAACTCTCCCGCCTCCTATATATTCCATCCGGATAATGCTGTGAGTTCTAATCCATTATTATCTTAAGTTGGCAAGGGTATTATATCGGAGAGTGAGTGAGGTTGCCAGAGGCCCTATAACCCATTCAGCTCATTCCACAGAACTAACGCACTTTTGAGACCTTTGGTGTTGTCCATCGGCGGCGCTGATTGCTTACCGACACCTGATCACCTGATCTGTCTGCTAATCACCTGATCTGTCTGCTAGTTTGTCTCCTGTGTAAAAAACTGGTTAAAGCTGAATAGATGTGATGTGATTTTGAACCTGATTGATAAAGAGTAGCATGGAGTTTCTTGCTCGTTCTTCTCCATAAGAATCTACAACATGGAATGATCAAATAGCTTCTTCACTTTTAATTTTTTTATTGACGTTCAAAAGTGACTTCCTTGTCTAATTGAAATGTGGAGGTGAACATTAAGCGCAACTGCCAATTTTCACTAGTTATTGAGGTTTTACTTCAGACGCCATGTATAATTTGTTTATCGTTTAGCATCTTTCTTACATTGTCAGACATACATAATATTTTAAAACAATAAATAACTACTTTATTGATCGAGGCAATTAGCATCAATATTACTTTTGCAAAACAACGAGCAGTACTCAATCAGACTTAAATTAGTACTAAAAAATGAATATTGTAAACACTTTCATAGTATAAAGTTAAGATCAGTAATGCGACCGATCAGAAATAAATCTGTTTTTAATGAATAACGTGATCAGGTTGATGAAACGCAAGCTATGTTATGGTTATTACTCGATGTTTATTTAACATTTTATGTTAATAGATATGATCGCACTTAATGTGTAGTGGATAACTAATGCATTACGTAATACATGTCGGTATTACATCGATCTTGTGGACTTAATATACTCTTGTTTGATGTTAAAAGTGGTGTCTATAATTTTATTTTGCACTGATTTTTTTATATTACTTTTTACAAATTATTTTACAATGTGTTCGTTTATCTAAATGGCTGATAACTTAATGTATTTTCAATACGAAGTGTTACAAAATAAGTGTCAATAACTTAATTAAAACTGTGAGACAAGTCCTTTAGTAAAGGAATAATAGTGTTTGCTAGTAATGGAGCATCATAAATGAATCATGCTGTCTCGCTAACAACATCTTATAAAGCAATATACTTGTCACATTTTATGTTCTCTGAGTAATTTCTTTGTGTTAGCTAATATTTAAATGTGTTGATGACAGAGGGCACTCAGATAATAATACGAACAAAGCGAATTATCTTATCAGAATCAGGTCCTAATGAAAGTTTATCGTTGCAGGTACCTGTCGCGTCATGGTTCGACGACATGACAGATTCAGAACTTTTGGACTTGATACCGTTTTTCGAGAAACTAGCTAAGGTGGACAGTGTATACACAGTGTTGCGGAACTCGAACCACCCGTACAACCCGACGGCCAACAGCTCGCCCGGCACATAGCGCGGCGCCGGCCTCGGCCCCGCCCCCGCCACCTTGTTCCAAACACTCATCAAGAAAGGAGCGAACTTCGTCTTAAGTGCCAATTTTGCCTTCTGGATAGTGAGGACATTATTTCTACCTATTTTACATTTTAGGTATTTCTTAGTGCGTAAGTGGTCTGTATGATGGATTTGTGATGATAATTCTTTATTTAACATTTCCACTCTCTGGTGAGCTTGCAAACGAAGTGTTCGTATATATTTGGACGTAATTCTATCGATATTTTTCGGGTTGACTAACGTATGTTTAACGTGTATTTAAAAAATGCAATCGTCACTCATTGAATTTCATTTTCGTGATTATTCGACAACTTATATCGTGCTTGGGATCAAATACAGATAAGTTAGGATATTTTTACCGTCGTGGTTGCAGTCTTATTATGTATCGCTCATTTCTGGTCTTTTGTCAGAATCGATGGAGTCGATGACGTGTCGCATCTCTATGATTTGCCTTCGTCTTGGATGTGTAATTACTAATAACTGTATATTGATAGACTTGTAACATAATCACGGATTCTAAAAATGGACTGGGATTTAAGCAGTAGTATCCAGCACTAGTGAAATGTGTAAATATTTTTATAAGAGAGTAAAGATGGTCGCCGCTTGAATCATGGTTAGAATTAATATGATTAATGTACATACATTTATATTATACATAAACAATTGAATTGTAAGAGTATCGCTCGTGGCAGAACAATAGCACTTAAGGTGATTTGCGTCGTACTGATACCGTGACTCGTGTTACATACGAACTCTTAATGCTGATCTATTTATAAGGATATCGATTTATTCAAATTATTTATTCAACAAAATATTATTTTATAAAGTATAATTTACAATTTGTATCATATTTTTAAGCGAAAAATACTTATTTATAAGTCTTATTATATTGATTTGTGAAGTTAAAATAAAATGTGAAGGAACGCGTGTTGTTGATTATTAAGTTGTGATGTAATACGGGTCACTAAGGTTTGTGCACATTAGACGGATCGAGTATTCCATTATCCCATTTACATGTAACATATTATTAACTTTAGTGTGTACATACCTTTGTTTTACGGTAAAACTCCCCCCTAAGTAGTTATTGCATCGATGACAATAAGAAGTCAATCGCGACAGTGTCATATGAGTGTTTTTTTAATTATTATTATTAATTATGAGTAAAATACTTTGTATGCTACACACGGGTGAACGTAGGGACAGATCAAATTGGCATCTAAATATATTTCTTGTTTTTGCTTCTGTGTAGAAGTATAATACTGGCTTAGACCTGATTTTTCTAATACATGATTACAACAACGATTAATATATTAAGTAACCAAGCTTACTTGTGCCTAAAGCTGCTTGGTTACTTGGTTTTGTGAAGTGAACAAGACCCACTCCGCGGAGGGCCACTCGAACGGAACATTGAACGCTTAGTTTAAAAATATTTAAAATAAAAATTCATCATCTCAGTATTAACCTAGCTTTGTAGTATTTGATGCCATTTTTACAAAAACATAAAATTAAAAACTAAAATGAATATTATATATCTATGAATTTTAACAAAATATTTTTATGATGGCAATATTTTTGTATGTTGAATTATTGGGTGTCGAGTATTACCAACGTAACGTAGCGACTGCACACGCGAGGCGATAGTGATATTATGGAACGTGTTCTGACAAAGTTTATGATTAAAACGAATGTTTTTGGAAAGTAATGTTTTATTTCAGTTCTAAATTAGCGTTAATGTATCGTGAAATTGGCTTGCTAGTGCATTTATTTTGCATTGCCGCAGAAGTCCGGTGCATGTGCGAAGCTCAATTGATCCGTCTACCCTAACGTAATGATATATCGCATATCCTAGCCTCAAGTGTGGTCGGAGACTAAAGCTAAAATATTAAATCAAAATTGTCTAACTGACTTACGTAAGAATTGATTAAATTAGGTAATACTAAATGGTGCTTTCAGTATTAGTTGATTAAGCAGCTCGAAATTATTGACTGTTAAGTAAACTACGCACATTCGGTTTGTACGATTGCTAAACAAAACAATATTCATACTGAGAATATCACAATTGGCAGACAAAAGTAACTTGTATTGAATATATAAAACTCCTTGGCTCGCATGCCATGTATTTATTTGTTTTAATTGCTTAGCAAAACGGTTTTATTGTTTATTTTTTGTATTATCCTTTGATGTGGAACTATTATTGTTTTGTAGGAGCTTGTAAATAAGATTTTTATTAACTTAAAACTGATTGAAATTGGTTTTTTTAAAGATATCAAATGTAGATGATCACTTTCTCTAATTATACGCGTTAGTTTGTTATTTAGTGACTACGGTGTATGTATATACCTTATACATATGTAGGTATATTTACGCTAATGCTAGTTGTATCTTTGATATAAGCATATTCACACAGTGCGCTTTGAATCCACGTCTATACCGAGGCCATATAAGTTAGACAATTATAGTCCTCCGAAGCCAATAGATACTCCTTGTAGTACCATTGTTGATGAAACGGGTGCACATTATAGAGAAATAGTCCAAAGTTTTAATAGATGATACATGGACGTTTATGTATTCATGTAATAGATATGATGACAAAAACTATATGGTTCTGGTTATCACAAAGAATAAGATATACGGACGCGTATTATTTTTTTAAGATCAAACGTGACGTTGAGCGATGACGTAGCGAGCCCCCACTCTTAAACTATAATTTGCTTTTAGGTTTTTGTTCCTACAAAAAAAAAATTCTCAATATTTTTCGTTATTTTACTGAAAGACTAAGTATGTTTTTGTCATTATTCCTATTTATGTTACATTTTGCACTGTTTGCGTGTGGTGCTGTTTGTTGAAGCTATGTCCCACGTGTCTGACTGGTGTAATTCCTTTAAGGAGTTCTAATATAGTGCTTATTATAAATTTTAATAAGAAAAGTTTACTACTTCAAATTGCTGTATTTTATTATCTAGCTTTATTGAGAAAAGTTGTTATTGAATTACTAAACCGGGTAAATAAATGAATTTTGGGACAATTACAATCTGATAGACAGCGCATCTTTAAAAGTTAAGTATCTTTAGATCAGAATACGTATAATGTTAGTTAAATGTGCGCCCGATTTCAAGCTCCGCGCATATAAATGAAAATAAGCTTTAAATTACATTTTTAAATCAGTTTTGTTTTCATCAATGTGTACGCGGCTTCATACTGAACTATGTGTATTGCAGATTACACACGATCACCATAGACCCATGTAGACAGCATTTATTTGTAAGCATTAACATAGACTTAGCATGTTATAGTAATATATACGTTGATTTCTTTAGACTAAGGAATCTGTTGTTTTAAATGACGCGTTTTCTTATAATGTATTTTAGATTCGTAGGACCTATCTGTGACCATCTTATTTAAAACACTCTATTTTATCAATTTTTATTGTCATATTTTTTATTATTATATTATCGTCCAACTATGTTATTTAGGAACAATTAATTATTGTTAACGTTTATTTAAAAATGCATGCAATAAAGTAATTTATAAAGTATTACTGGGTTTTTTAAATATTCTCAGTAGTAGCACGGAGTCTGGAAGTGTGCCCGGTATATGGCAATAGGCTCACCCCCTATTACATGGGACTCATAACATAAATAGTGAAAAGTGGGTGTTACATTGTACAGTGGTATAATGTGCACCTCTGCCTACCCCTTCGGGGATAAAAAGGCGTGATGTTATGTTATGTTATGTTATGTTATGCAATAAAATTCGATTGATATTTTGCTAATAATGTCGTATTTTTTAATAATGGGTATGAAATAATTAAATGTAATACTTTGTCTAACATTATAACGAGTTGGTATCGTTGTTGTATCATTAATTTGGATTTTTTTTATGTAATTTATAATAACATTGATGTTTAAGGACTTTGGAAATGTATTTGCAATAACTTGTTTTATTATTTTCTTGTAATATTTCTGATTGAGCTTATTTGTTGAAGTGATTGTTTGAGATTGTTTCTGTCGGTGCTTTTTTGAGTATTCGAAGTAAGTGGGACTTGGTGATTACAGTATAATGTTCATATTTATTCACGTATGTAGTTTACTCCACTCCACTTATACCTACGTAAGCTGAAGCCTAAGTTGTTGTTGTGATTTTCCCTTGAACTTAAGTAAAAACCAAGTGTCACTTATACTTTAGTCAAATTGTTTGCAGTCGTTATGACTGCTCAGTATTTAATTCGTATGCAATTCGAGTCGCGTTAACTGCTTACTAATTCACCCACAATCGATAATGACGTGATTTTATACACCCCGATTGTGATCACGCGACATGAAGCTGCGCGGAATCTATTCACTTGCACTCTCAACTTTAATTGCTTGTAAACAAAGTACAAAATACAACAGCAATGCTGGTTTTAACGTTACGAACAAAATGTATGAGTCAGTTAATACGATTCTTTAAAATAAGGTTGTGCTTATGCTGTACCACATATCTTTTGTATTCGAGTCGATCGGTCTTCAATTCTTGCCTCTAGGAAGTTAATTATGTGAAAACGAATACTCTCGAATTTTTATACCCTTCGATTAAACAATAGCTACCCACCTGTCACTGCCTTAGAGGATGAAATTGCCCCAAATTTTACTCAGAGGGTTTAGTACGACTCTATTTTACGTTTATCGATGTACTGTTCAGCGCTCTGATTGGCCGGCTTTAATCAACTGACCAATCAGAGCGCTGCGGTTACGTAAAACAATCTCTTACTAAGCCCTTTGTACCTAGAGCGGTATGTACTATATATAACGAATAGATATTTTATATAAAAATGCTGAATAAATTATACTGCGCTCTGCAATAATAGGCTTCCTCGTGTTACACGTGTAAATGTTAATAGAAATTTATTTATATTCAATTGTATTATATTTGTATATTGTTTTACTTTTACGCGAGGTTTTGTATTGAGCTTTTGGGTTTTAC